TACACTTGGTGTTATGCCAGGGGCAAGTCACACACACACACACACAAAAAGACGTTTAGTAGCCTATAAGTACTAGAGAATATATCCTTTGAATTTTCTATAAAATATGCAAGATTTTCCTTCCAAGTCTCCACGATTTCCTTAAGCTTATTTCATGTACTTTATTAGAATCAGAATGACAAAGAAAAGATTTGATTGTTAAAATGCTAGACAAAGAGCTAGACAATAAGGAGGTCTGCATCAATTCAGTATTTTCTCTTTACTCAAAGGCTTGACAGTGATCAGAGCTTTGTGGTTGGCCCTACTGAATTAATCCAAGTGAAGGAATTAATTTTCCTGCTTGCTCAGTGTTAGCCGCAATCGTATAGATGTCAAGGTGAGATGAAAGTAATGAGCCTGGTTTTGTAGTAACCATAAAAATGTATTCTTCCAAGTGGCTTTTCCCCCTTCAAAGCAGGCACTTCAAAGATAAAGGCTTATGTTGAGGATAGAGCTGTTGACCAAAACAATTTTAAAGCTTCTTTTGGAATTGACTTCAGAGCTTGAGCCAGAGTCTTTTCAATTATCTTTCCTGTCACACATCTTCACCCTTTAGGGGTAGATATGATATTTGGAGAACATCAAATGCCATTCATAGCTAAATCTTATAAATAAGGTGAATGATAAATCTGGATGTTACCCTTTGAGATTTAAAAAAATAAAATGTAACTAAATATGACTATAACAAACAAAAAAAAAGAACGCAAACCTACCACCATCAAGTTGATTCCAACTCATAGTGACCCTCATTGGGTTTTCAAGGCTATAAATCTCTATAGAAGTAGATTGCCTCATCTTCCTCCCATGGAGCAGCTGGGGAGTTTGAACCACTGACCTTCTTGTTAACAGCCAAATGTTTTACCCACTATGCCACCAAAAAAAAAAAAAAAAACTGCTGTCGAGTCAATTCCAAGTCATGGTGACCCCCATTGGGTTTCTGAGGCTGTAAATCTTTACGGAAGTGGATTGCCCCATCTTCTGTAAAGCAGCTGGTGGATTTGGCTGCTGACCTTCTGGTTAGTAGCTAAATGCCTTATCCACTACGCAACCAGAGGTCCTTACTATGCCACCAGCGATCCTTAAATATGATTATAGAGTACTGAAAACTATTTGCTGGTATCTTCAAAACCTAGAAATTAACTTTGAAAGCTGTCCCATTAGTATGGTAGCCAAAGTGTTTTGAGCCTGCCAAGGTGACTATTCTAAAAGGGATTCCATCAATTTAGATGTTTATATTTTTAAAAAGTCAGTCACATCACTTTTTGGGCTCACTGTAATGTAAGAGGAAGAACATGAACAGTGAGAGCCAGACAGATCTACCCTCACCCTTTCCAGCTCTCTGTAACCTTGGACAAGGGACTTGAGCTGTCTGAGCCTGTTTCTTAATCAATGGAGCGATGGAGTCAATGATTCCCCCTGGGACTATTCTATGTAAACCACCACGTAAATCGGCCTACGTGTACAGACAGAGCTTGTGATTATGTGATGGATTTATTTACAATCAGCCTTATTTCAAAACCTAAGGCATTTGACTGCTAATCAGAAGGCTGACAGTTCAAACCCACTAGCCACTCCTCGGAAGGAAGACTAGGCAATCTACTTGCATAGAGATACCACCTTGGAATCTCAAGGAGGGGTTGCTATGAGTCGGGATTGACTCGATGGCAGTGAGTTTGGAAATTAGTTTAAGGTCTCAAAGGAGATTCATATTTGCTTTTGGAAAACTTTCTTATACTTAGTCCACAGTTACTGTTCTCAGAGGCTAATGTTCAGAGAAGGCCACACTTTTTCAAGGGATGCTGCCTCTAACTGGTATGAATTGGGACTCTTGTCAAATGGGCTTGTTTAACTCTGAATAACCATGATTGTTTTCTTGAGTGTCAATAGGAGATGAATCCATTAAAAAAAAAAGGGGGGGGGGAGGGCAGAGATGATACTTCTGCTTGCAGGTAAACAGGCAGCACCAAAATGGCTTCCTTTACTACTGGGACCATCACAGTGCTTGAAGGAAACTGCTGTAGTTGTGGTGGGCAGCTGAGTAGAATGTAATGCATCTCAATATTATAAAGTCAATTGGATTTTCCTGGTCTTCCTGGAGCTTTCTGCTATTACATGAAAGAGCTCACTTTGCCTCCCCTATTTCCATTTGTAAGATGGGCTCGCCAAAGGACACAATGAGAAAAGTTTACAAGGATAGTTGTGCCATTCACCACGGGGGTCTTGAAATCACAGGAGCCCCACCTATCTTTTGTTGTTGTTCTTTTCATTCTTTATGTCTTTTTCCATGTATTGTACATGCACAATGCACTGCTGTTGAATCAGATCCAACTCATAGTAACCCCTCCTTGGGTTTCTGAGGCGGTATCACTACGGAAGTAGATTGCCCAATCTTCCTTCCGAGGAGTGGCTGGTGGGTTTGAACCGCCAGCCTTCTGGTTAGCAGTCAAATGCCTTAGGCACTACACACGTGATGCTATAAAGCCATTTTGTGATAATAACAATGAAAGAGGTTGAAACCAAGTATCTCTAGCTACCAGTTTCCATGGAAATAAGAGAACTACCTACATTTTTATAAAATTAGCCATATTATTCAGGACCAGCTACAATGGTAATTCATGTCGTTAGTTGCCTTTGAGTCAGCTCTGGCTCCTGAAGACCCCACGTATGGCAGAAGTAACCTCGCTTAGTCCTGCACCATCTTCGTGGTCACTGGTATGGTCAAGGCCATTGACACAGCCACTGTGTACTGTGAGTGCTTCCTAACCTAGAGGGCTCATCTATCGTTTTGGGTTTTTTTTGGGGGGGGGGGGCAGGAGGGTACTTTTATTGTGATTTGGGTGAAAGTTTACAGAGCAAATTGGTTTTCTGTTCAACAATTCATACACATTTTGTTTTGTGACATTCATTACAGTCCCCACAATTAACAGCACTCTTCCCACTTCCTCCTGCGTTTACTGGTTCTATTCTTCCTTCTTTCCTATCCCTTCCTGCCTTCTGAGCTTTCTCCCTGGGCAAATGTTGCCCTTCTGATCTTGTATGGTTGATTGTTCTAAGGAGTGCCTACCTCCTTGATATTCTTGTTCACCTTAAATACCCATTGTTTGGCTGAAAGTTGAACTGCAGGGGTGAATTCAGGCTTGAAGGGTATCTGACAGCCATTGTCTTGGGGACCAGTCTCTATCAGACCAGTAATACTGGTCTTTTTTATGGTTTGGTTCCACATTTTTCTTCCAGTCTATCTAGGACCTCCTATTGTGATCCCTTTCAGAGGGGTCAGCAGTGGTAGCTGGGCACCAAATAGTTCTTCTTGTCTCAGTGGCATGGAGGCTGGGGTTCACATGGTCTATTACTCCTTTGAACTACTTGTTTCTTTGCATCTTTGATTTTCTTCACTCTCCTTTGTCCTGGACAGGTAGAGACCAATAGTGCAGGGTAGAGACCAAAAGTTGCACCTTAGATAACCACTCACAAGCTTTTAAGACCCCAGTCACTACTCATCAAAGTAAGATGTAGAACATTGTATTTGTGGACTCTGTTATGCCAGTTGACCTTGATATCCCCCAAGACATGGTCCTGAGTCCGCAAGCCCAGCGACTCATTACCTCAAGGTATCTGACATGGCTAAGAAAATTTCCAAACTGAAATTTGGAACAGAGGGGGCTGTTCCAAAAATTTGGAACAGAGGGGGCTGATCTCCCAGCACTTTATCACACAACATTGTTGTGATCTACAGTATTTTCATTGACATCAGAAGTAGAGCTCCAGATCTTTCTAGTCTGTCTTAGTCTGGAAGCTCCTCTGAAGTCCGTGGAGGGTATTGAGCAATGCTACTGGCATTTGAAATACTAGTAACGAAGCTTCCAGCATCATAGCAACACGGTAGCTACCAGACAAACTGACACATGAGTGGGGGGATTCATAAAATAGTAATTCATAGAATCATAGAATTTTAGATCCAGGGTGTATGGAGGTGGTAATTATTAGAAATTAGCTAATCAATGTATCCTTAAGTATACTGGGCAGAACAGTTGTTTCCTGGTTAAACAAGTTTGGGAGCTCTGGTGGCGTAGTGCCTAAGGCATTTGACTGCTAACCAAAGGCTGGTGGTTCAAACCCACCAGCCACTCCTCCGAAGGAAGATTGGGCAATCTACTTCTGTAGTGATACCACCTCAGAAACCCAAGGAGGGGTCTGCTATGAGTGGGATCTGACTCCACTGCAGTGAGTTTCGTTGCTTTGCTATTACCCCTGTTCCCTCCCCCAATACACACACATTTGAATATTCACAATGAAAAGTCAACTCCAAGTCAGCATTTTCCAATCTTAGCTGACCATGGAGTCTTTTTTCCTGTGTAACAGCTGTTAACATCCTGCATGTAGCAAATGAGTCCAGCCTGATTATGGAGATCCAGAAAATTAAGCCACTTGCTGGAGGTAACAGAACCAGGACAGAAACCCACTGATGATAGACAGTACCTCAGAATGGATGCTTATTTGTACTGACAGCAACGGCTTCAAAACATTTTAGGATCCCCCACCCCCCGGAAATTTATTTAAAGAATTTTGTCTAAAGTACTTAGGTTTCCAGTTTAAATTAGAGAGATTTAGCCTTTAGCAGATGAAAAATGTGTCCATTGGGCCATTCATTTCAGGAATGCTCTTTATTCACATGGCCTGAGTGTCCTGTGCTTGCGTGCTCCGGAAGCTCAGTTTGAAGGGTGGGGAAGGGGGAAACCATTAAGCAATTAAACAAGTGCGTATGTAATTACAAATTATGATGCGTGCCGTGGAGAAAATGAACTATGTGCTGTCAGACTGCGCTTAAATCTGCAATAATTTTTTAATTGACCCAGAACCAGTAGGGATCAATAAGCAGCTGCTTTTACGGGTATTTCGGTACCCAGTTTATAACTACAGATTTGAATCACCTAAGAGACCCTGTTCCCTTCTTGCTTTTCCAGCCCAGTGGAGCAAAATGAGCGCGCAGTGAGCCTGCTCAGCCTGTCTCCCAGCGGTCGCCCACCATGAACCACTTGGAAGGGTCTGCGGCGCTGGAGGTGACCGACGAGGCAGCAAGCGAGGAGGTGAACGAGTCGGTGGAGGCCGACCTGGAGCACCCGGAGGTGGAGGAGGAACAGCAGCAGCAGCACCTGGCGGGCGGCCACCCGCGCGGGCGCACCTTCGAGGACCTCCGCGCCCAGCTCGTGCAGCAGCAGGAGGAGGAGGAGCGGGGGGAGTGCCTGGCGCGATCGGCCAGCACAGAGAGCGGCTTCCACAACCACACAGACACGGCCGAAGGCGACGTGATCGCCGCGGCCCGCGACGGCTATGACGCAGAACGCGCGCAAGACCCTGCGCAGGACCCCGAGGATGAGAGTGCGTACGCCGTACAGTACAGGCCCGAAGCCGAGGAGTACACGGAGCAGGCGGAGGCCGAGCACGCTGAGGCCACGCACCGCCGCGCGCTGCCCAACCACCTGCACTTCCATTCGCTGGAGCACGAAGAGGCCATGAACGCGGCCTACTCGGGCTACGTCTACACGCACCGGCTCTTCCACCGCGGCGAGGATGAACCCTACGCCGAGCCCTACGCCGACTACGGGGGCCTCCAGGAGCACGTGTACGAGGAGATTGGGGACGCGCCCGAGCTGGACACGCGCGACGGCCTGCGGCTGTATGAGCAGGAAGGCGATGAGGCGGCGGCCTACCGCCAGGAGGCCCTGGGCGCCAGGCTGCACCACTATGATGAGCGCTCCGACGGCGAGTCCGACAGCCCAGAGAAGGAGGCCGAGTTCGCGCCCTACCCGCGCATGGACAGCTACGAGCAGGAGGAGGACATAGACCAGATCGTGGCTGAGGTCAAGCAGAGCATGAGCTCCCAGAGCCTCGATAAGGAGGCCGAGGACATGCCTGAGGCCGAGCAGGACCTGGAGCGAGCCCCTACCCCGGGCGGGGGCCGTCCCGACAGCCCTGGGTTGCAGGCGCCGCGGGCGGTGGGCACTGCAGGCAGCGGCGAGGCGGTGCAGCGGTACAGCAAGGAGAAGAGGGATGCTATCTCGCTGGCCATCAAGGACATCAAGGAGGCCATTGAGGAGGTGAAAACCAGGACCATCCGTTCGCCTTACACTCCCGACGAGCCCAAAGAGCCCATCTGGGTCATGCGCCAGGACATTAGCCCCACCAGGGACTGTGACGAGCAGAGGCCGGTGGACGGAGATGTAAGTATATGCGGTTCGTACTTGCTCGGCTCCACTCGCAGCTGGGAGGGGAGACTTACGCCATGTGGCCTTGTTTGTCATTGGGAAATTACTTTATGAGATAAGTAGTCTGTGGGGGTGCTGGGAGTGTTTCCATGGTGAGCCTGAGAAACAGCTTACCTGTAAGTTGCTGGGAGAAAAATAAAAGAGGGCTCAAAAAAAAAAAAAAAAAAAAAAACCTCGCTGCCATCGAGTCGGCTCCGACTCATAGCGACCCCTCCTTGGGTTTCCAAGGCGGTATCAGTACGGAAGTAGATTGCTCACCCTTCCTTCTGAGGACTGGCTGGTGGGTTTGAACAACCAGCCTTCTGGTTAGCAGTCAAATGGTAATTGCTAAATGCTCTCATCTTGCCCTAAATCAGTGGTTCTCAAACTGTACTTGAAGGGCTTAAGAAATAGATTCCTGGACGCCCTCCCAAAATTTCTGATTAGAAGTTCCGGTAGAGGGCCTGCAGATTTTCCCTGGAGAAGGACATCATGCTTGTAGAGGGTCAGCGAAAGAGAAGCCCCTCAACGAGATGCATTGACACAGTGGCTCCAACTGTGGGGTCAAACAGCAACGATTGCCAGGACGGTGCAGGAAGGCCGTGCAGTGTTTCATTCTGTTGTACATAGGGTGGCTATGAGTGGGAAGCAACTCAGCTGGCACCTGACAGCAACGTCAAATATAAACAAATCCAAACTTAGGAAGGAGGGACTTTATTGGAAAGGATACTTGCAGGGGGGAAATAGGACTATTGCTGTAGGGGGAGGGAATCTATTGCAATAGGAACAAGACTCTGACCATAAGATCTGCAGTACTCTCAAGGGTTAGGCAAAAGAATTTTTCTTTTATGTTGTTGTGTTCCATTGAGTTGATGGATCCAGGGCTGTCGGGACGGCCCCCGCCCGGGGTAGGGGCTCACTCCAGGTCCTGCTCGGCCTCAGGCATGTCCTCGGCCTCCTTATCGAGGCTCTGGGAGCTCATGCTCTGCTTGACCTCAGCCACGATCTGGTCTATGTCCTCCTCCTGCTCGTAGCTGTCCATGCGCGGGTAGGGCGCGAACTCGGCCTCCTTCTCTGGGCTGTCGGACTCGCCGTCGGAGCGCTCATCACAGTGGTGCAGCCTGGCGCCCAGGGCCTCCTGCGGTATGCCGCCGCTTCATCGCCTTCCTGCTCATACAGCCGCAGGCCGTCGTGCGTGTCCAGCTCGGGCGCGTCCCGATCTCCTCATATGATTAGGACTCATAGTTATCCTATAGGACAGAATAGAGCGGCCATATGGGGTTTCCCAAGCTGTGATCTTTTCAGGAGCAGACCGCCAGATCTTTTCTCCTGCACATCACCTGTGGTGGGTTCCAACTGCCAGCATTTCAGTTTGCAACCCCTTCCTTAACCATTGTGCCACCAGGGCTGCTTACCCTTGTTTACAATTAAAAAATATGTATATATATCCATTCCATCAAGTTGATTCTGACTTATAGTGACCCTATAAGACAGAGGAGCTGTCTTGACTACTACCTGAAAGGTTGGCCCTGTGAACCCATCCAGTAGTGCCACAGTAGAAAGGCCTGGTGATCTGGTATAAGATTACAGCTATGAAAATCCTATGGAGCTCAATTCTGCTCTGTAAACATGTAAACCATGAGTCAGGATCAGCTAATGGCAACAGATTTGGTTTTCTTTGTGGCCTTGTCGTACGTAAACAAGAGGAACATCCATGATTCTTATCTAATTATGGGAAAGTGTAGTTCTTTGCAATTAGTCATTTCCTACAAGACACAAGGGTGAGGGTATGTCTTAACCTTCTCTGTTTTCCACAATCACAGGGCTTCTATAAAGTTCAGCACTGTCACTAACAAGTTCCCAGGTGATACTAATGCTGGTGGTCCCAGGACTCCAATTTGAGAACCACTGCCTTGAAGGTCAGTGGTTCAAATCCACCAAAGCAAGCTGTGACACTCTGCTTCTGTAAAGATTTTCAGCTTTGAAAACCCTGTGGGGCAGTTCTGTTCTGTCTTACAGGGTAGCTCTGGTAGCATAGTGCCTAAGGCTTTTGACTGCTAACCAGAAGGCTGGTGGTTCAAACCCACCAGCCACTCTTCGGAAGGAAGGTTGGGCAATCTATTTCCATAGTGATACCACCTTGGAAACTCAAGGAGGGGTCGCTAAGAGTCAGGTCCAACTCGATGGCTAACAACAACAACAATAACATGAGTTGGAATCGACTTGATAGCAGTGGGTTTGGTTTGGGTTGCCTTATACCATTCACTTAGAGATTTGGGATGGGCATTATGGTCTCTTTGAAGGAAATCTTTCTGGGCCCTTTCCTGCTGGGGATTTAACCCACCCTGTGCTTGGTAGGTAAGTTCTGGAGGTACGTCCTTCCCTCTTCACAAAGGGCATGCTCTCAGTGTAAAGCAAGGTGTGCTTTGTTAAGAGGAGCTGCCAAAAGCTACTGCTACTCCTGTCCACATTTCATTTTCCATTTTTCAAATACCTAAGAAATTTGATAAGCTTGGGTGCTGCAATCTGTTCAAAATAAATCAAGACGACTAACCTTTGCCCCGTCTACCTTGCTACACAGATTCTCTTTCTCCTCTGGCTCTCATTTTTCCATTTTCGTAAATAATTTTTAAGCAATTTCATTTAAAATTGGAGCTTGAAATAGAAGAATGGTCAAAAGGTTAAATATGACTTTATTTGATTCTGCATTTTATGATTCACCAGGCTATTTCTCAGTATATCTTTTGGAGTGAGAAACCATTACTGTAAGCTGGGTGTTCATTTTACTCATATGTAAAGGGCTGCACAGGTCACAGAGGTGTCATTCACCTCCTCTTTCAATAGCAGTCAACATCCCTCCACCGCTAAAGAAAGGCTGGAGAGTAGTAGGGAAGAAAATGGCATCCTTCCCAGCAAGGGGGCAGCGTTGGGTCAGTTAGTTCAGAGAGGCCCTGTACCTCTCCTGCTTTTCCGGGCTTCAAATTCAGACACTTAACAACAACCGGGGGGGGGGGGGGGGGGACCAGGTGCGCACACGTGTGCAATTCTCCTTGACCTCCAGCTGTCTCCAGGTTCCTCCCACTAGGAGGGATCACAGCAAGCAGTTTGCAAATGAGGTGGAAAGAGAACAGGTTTTTAAAAGGAGGGATCTGGCAAGGGGCCAGGTTCTGCATCCTTTCAGGAACTTGGAAAGCCGTCAGAGAAAATGCTGCCTGAGCATTTGGTCCAGGTGCTGGCCTCTTCCTTCCGCTTTGTCACACGCTGCTTGAAATGACTGGCTTAACCACACTGCTGCTGCAGTCGCATAGTAAACCCACAGAGCACCCTACAGTAGGGCCAGGGCTCACTTTTATGCATTTGAACTAAGAGAACAACTTAACTCTCTTACATGATGTCCCATTCAAAAGAAAGAATGCATTATAAAATGTTGAATGGTGCTTTAAAAATCTATGGTGTCATAAATTCAATTTGATGCAAAGAAATCAGCGAGTAGAGCTCACTTTGCTATGAATGGCTCAAACAAAGCAAAAGTGAAATCTTGTGCCCTAAGATATTCCCCCAGGCATTTTTGTGCCATTTGAATTTGTGGATTGTGTTTCATCTGTCATGCTATAATTATAGGAAAGGCCTTCATTTACAGTCCCATTTGATGGTATTTGAGGGAGGTAAAAAAGATACATGATTTCTTTTTTTTTTTTTAATTTTTATTGTGATTTGGGTGAAAGTTTACAGAGCAAATTCACATTCCATATAGCAGCTCACATACACTTTGTCTCATAACGTTAACTACAATTTCCCACAATGCATCAGCTCCCCTCCCACTTCCTCCCCATAGTTACCTCTTCCCTGAGCCCTTCCCTTCATGCCTGCCTGCCCCCTGAGCTATTTTCCTGTCCGTATATAGCCCTTCTATTCTCCTATGAATGATCTCTCCAAGGAGTGTATCTACCTCAGGTAAATGTTCAACTCATGTACCTGTCTTTTGTTTGGCTGGAAGCCACAGGAGTGGGTTCAATTCCAGACCTAAAGGGCAGCTGCTGACCATAGTCTCAGTGATTCCATCAGGCTCTATCAGACCAGAAAACCTAATCCCTTTTTTTTTTTCCAAATGATTTTGAGTTTTGTTCCACATTGTTCTCCCTCTCTATCCAGGATCCCCTACAGATATCCCCCTTCGAGTGGTTGCCAGTGGTAGCCAGGCACCATCTAGTTCTTCTGGTCTCATAGTCGTATAGGCAGAGGACCACATGGTGTACCAGTTGCTTTGGCTAATTGTTTCCATGTGTCTTTGGTTTTCTTCATTCTTCTTTGCTCTGGACAAGGAGAGACCCATTGTTGTATCTATATGGCCGCTTGTAAGCTTTTAAGATTCCAGTCGCTACTCCCCTAAGTAGGATGTGGAACAATGTTTTGGGTAGTATGTTATGCCAGTTGAGCTTGATGTCTCCCGTGACTATATGATCCTGAGCCCACAGGTCCAACGACTCGCTCCCTTTGGGTAGCTGGCTATGGCCAAGAAGTGACTACAACATTGCCCCTTGTCAGCTCTACCATGTAACTGGGAATTCTTACAGACTATACAAATACACTATAGAAATATTGTCTATCAACCCTGTACATGGTCTTGGGCACACTCCCCCCTGCATAGACATACCTAATAGTTCAGCCTGTTCACCGATCTATCAGCCCATATATCTATGTTTGCCTTCACTGACAATGCAGTACTGTATGTGCAAAAGGGTTCATCTTTGTTGTCTGTACCTCCCATGGAGTTTCTATGTCTTCCTCTTCCTCAGTGCCACTGTGTTGATCACTCACATTTGGTACATTGCCCTTCTCTTCACCCAAATCAGTACTTGTCTCTACCTATCTAATAGTGTTCCTTCCCCTTCCCTTCCACCCCTGGTAACCAACAAAGAAAATTTCCTTCCATGTATAAACCTTTCCTTGACTTTTTACAATAACGGACTAATACA